GGTAGCGGGCGCTCGGTCTGCTGTGTGGGGAACTGCTGTGTGTTTCAGTGCTGTAAGCGCCCCGCGGCCTGGCGAGAGCGGTGGTTGGGTCGGCGAGGGCCGGTGCCGGAGTTTCCTTGGAAGTGCCTCACGGGTTGGAGGCTGGTGGTGTGTTATCGTCCTCATGCTGTTTGTTTTGGAGGTGAGATGGCTAACGGGCTGTGCCGGCTGTGCTGCATGGGGCTGTGTGAGCTGCTGTGCTGACACCCTCTTCCTTACGGTTTTATAGGTTTGTCAACGATGAGATGTAGCAGTGGCACTTAGTCATGATCGACACTTTAGACTCTGAAGCTCAGCTACTTGAACTAGTGAGAGAGGTTTGTTTTCTCTTTTTTTCCTTTTTTTTTTTTTTTTGTTGAAATGAGCATGACAAAAGTTACTAATGCTTGTACTCTTGTACTCAGAGCCAGATGTTGTAACTGTGGTCTAAATTCTGGAGTTATTTAACTGGTCAAGTGTCTGCTGTACCCTGAAATCACATTGACTCCTATTATGCTCTGTAGGCTGAAAGGGCTCAATGTCCATTAAATGCTAGCAGTCAAACAGCAAATCAATCTACAATCATCTCTTGGTCATTACAAGTGAGGCTTTCATTAAAGGAACAGTTAGGTTGATAAGATCCACATACAGCTTTGACACTCAGGTCCAACCAGTGATAATGGTGAGATCTTTAAAACATTGCTGAGCTGTCACCTGATTCTATATATGTGTAGAATCACAAAGCCATATAAAAACCCTAGATCTCACAAAGCCCGGGCTGAAGTCCTGAGACCACTGATCTCCATGGAGATCCTAAGCCGGATTTTCCAACTGGGCTCTCCCCGTCTTGCCCAAAAGAGGTCATCAGAAGATACTCTACAATGTGAAATGGCCCTGCAAAACAGTGAGAGACAAACTGTCATGGGCAGATGCCTCTCTGTTATTCTGTGCTTCAGCCTTCTGGATAAATTGCCCAAAATGGGATATTTATGATTTGGAACAAGAACACAAGCTGTGTCACCTCCTGTTATTGCCTCATTTCTTTGACCAACACTGTGTTGGTAGCCTAGTCTTGTGTCCTCAGTAAACCCCAAACCAACAACCAGTTCCCCCCACTTTGTAGGCTTGTGTAACCCAACCTGTTGCAGAGTTCCATAGCAGCCAGTGCTGCAGAGGGCCATGCTATGGAGAACCTGAGGGGAATTTGACAGTTCACAGGTCACTCATTGAAGCATTAATAACATTAAAAATATTATTCCTTTATGTTTTTGTCTCACAGTATTTGGATTTTGCTGGATTTGAAGAAACAGTGAAAGTATTCACAAAGGAATGTGAAATAAAGGAGAAGTCACTACCTAATCCAGGAGGTGTTTCCTCAAGATGTTCAAAAGCTTTGCCTGTTCAGGTAGTGCATCATGTACACTTACTTTGAGGAATATTAAAAAGAGTTAAAGGCCACTAACCACCATGTGAATTGTGACAGCAGTGAGATTAGCTGAGCTCTTTGAACAGATTCTTGAGTATTCGAAGACAACTGCTATCAGTCTTCTTTCAGAGCAAGGACCTTCAAATTTGTATGTTTTTTTTTTTCTGAACTTCTGTTCTTTTGAACCTGAGACAGTACTTTTGATTCATACTCCTTTAGGTTTTTAGCTTGCCATACTGTGAGAAGACTGATTTTCACACATTGTAGTTATCCTTTTTGGTAAAATCGAGTCCCTAGATCAACATGATTGAAAACTTGGGCTTTGCTTCTTGTATTGGTGGCTCATTCAGGCTCTCAAAGATACTAAAAATAGATAGAGAAAAAAGAACATTTATGTGGTCATTGAATGGTGAGAAATTTTGAATAAAACTTTTCATGGCACTTCAATTCTTCATTCACTAACTTCCAGTTGAAAAAGCATTGCTCTTATGTGTTTGGTTTTTCACCAAATGCTTTTCCTCTTTGCAGAAAGATCTGCTTACAGCATTTGAAAATGGTGAGCAGAAGACTTTCTTCCAGCTCTGGGAGGAGCATGTTTCACCTTCAATCCGGACCAATGATCAGGTTGCTCAGAAGCTGGAGTTCCATCTTCATGTCCACTTTGCCACCTACCTCTTGAAGAACTCTATGGAAAAGTCTGTAAGTTTAGGTCACAGTTCACACTCCAAATTCCTTTTGTTTGTTTTACTTCATATGTTTGTCCTTAGTGTGGATGAGGATGGATTATTTAGTAATAACAATTCCCAGAAGATGATACATCCAGAAGATGTATCTGCTGTTTGGGCCACAGTCTGGTTTAGTTGAACCACACCCTGTGCTATTGTTGCTTTTTAGATAACAAATATTCTGGGATTTCAAACTTTATTTTAGTGTATTTAGGTCCCTGCTTATATTTGACAGCTTTACAGTGCATTCAGATTAGTAGTTCTCTAAATAAAAAGTTCACTGCTTTATTTCCTAGGACAATGCTGAACTTGAGGAAAGGATTTTTCTTTTTAAGGCATATCTGGAAAAAAAAGGAGCTCCACTGAGCCAGACTGCAGAGTTTCTTCCCTTCTATGTTTTGCCTTTTGTTCCAAACCCCCTGGTACATCCTTCATTTAAGGAAATTTTTCAGGTAAGTATCTGTTCTGCAGAGATGTTATTTATGATTATTTTTCTCATGAGGTGACAAATACTGAATGAAATCTAGTTCAGTAATTGCTTTTATTGTTTCCACTTACAGAAACTAGACAATCATTAAAGAACATATATTTGATGGAGGCAGGACTGTGCTATCAATACCAGAATACCATCTTAAATATATTTTATATTTGCTGGAGTCCTAAACGGTTTGCCAGCTTTGTGTCCACAAATAAGAATTGCACTCTCTCCTTCCTTTCCACACAACCCTGAAGTACACATGCTTCTGGGGAACATTAGACAGTAGTTCAAGTCCACTTCCTTGCTTTGAGGTTGTTTCCCAGCCCTTCTATCTGTGTGTACATAGCTGGATTTAAAACACGCTAGGTAGGCAGAAGGAGACTGAAGTAGTTTAATGTCAAAAAGAGGAAGTCAAGTTTAGAAGGAATCCTGCTGTAACAGAAGATGAGTGACCATTGTCTGTATTCTGAGGTTCTTTCTCACCCCCTAAAAATGCTGGAAGAGCATAGTTGTGCTTGGTGGTTTGGTGACTCTTGCCACAGACGTTTTTCTTTTGTATTTTTTTTTGTTAAATATGTTTTAGCCTTTGCCACTGAATGGCTGTTGCAGAGTTTGGTTCTTGGTATTGCACATGCAAGGTGAGAAGAGAGTGTAAAAGTTAGTGTGATTGAACTTCAAACTAGACCTCATTTGCAGGTGCACTTTCAGTGTGATTGTGATCTACACTTACTCTGTTGATGAAGGGGTAATCAAACACTCTTACCTTGACTGCTTTCCAGGCACTGTGCAGGTAGATCTTTAGGAGATGATGTCCAGAGCTGTGGTTTGATGTTCCAAAGCACTGGTGGCAATTCCTGTGGGGAGGGTGTACAGCCACCATTCTACCTGTTGAGGGCTTCTTCCTGCAGTGCAAAACTGCACCTTAACTTCTTGGTTTTGCTGGAAATGGCTGAATGCACTTGGAATGTGATCAGCCTGCTTTATGCTGGTGATTGCATACACAGCTCCCGCGTACATGTGCTCCACACACATGTAGATAGATTTGTTTGTAAAATATGAATCATATTTTGCCGGGTTGTATGATTGAAATGCTTCACGATCCTACCACATGGACAGTTGTGCTGGCTTATCTAGGGAACTGTGGGAGCTACTGTGGTGGGAGGAGGTATCTTCATCCTGCACTGCTGTTTCACTCTGTGATACCAAATCAAAGCTGAAGTGGTACTTGCCCTAGGACTGACTTTGGATGTACCAGCTGATGAGGTGTTCCAGTTTAACACCAAAAAAAGGCATATACTGCCATTTTCCATTGGGACTGGCTATAAATAATGAGATCTACTGGTTGACCTCAGAAATGGGTTATGACTGCTCTTTTTGAATTATACTTAACATTTTTTTTCCCCTCAATGCCTTATCAAAGACGAGATCCTCAGATTTATTCATAGTGACGCTGTGTCCAAGCTCTTAGTCCAGAGTCACTCATATTTTCTTGTGGGAATTGTGCAGTGCATTCCATGTTAGTGTTGAAACATGGATTGTTTTACATTAGAGAAAGAACAGCAGTGAGTCACCACTCTGCTAAGCAGTGTTCTTAAGGCTTTTTTTTTTTTTTTTTTTTTTTTTTTTTTTTTTTTTTGCCTTAGGCATCTGATGCTTTATATAGCTGGAGTTCCCATCTGTTTGTGAAATGCATCTTGAAAAATATTATACAGTCCTTTCTGGGACAGACATGGTGCCTTTGGTAACATACAGCATACTGGGATGCACCACTGTCTGGAAACTGAGTGGGTAAATATAGCAAGTAAATTGTGTAGGCTCTCCAGCAGGGTGAAATAAGAGCAAATTTGAGCTGCCAGAACATTGCAACATATACAGCTGTAAATTTAGGAAGCTCCTGCTCCTGGTTGGAAGATGCTGCTTTTTCATCTGTTGGCTAGCTTTTTGCCAAGCAGAAATTAACTTAGCTGAAGGTTTGAATTAGGTGAAATTAGTATTCAATTAATTCTGAGGTATAATTTGACTTTTTGCTTAACACTTGTTTTCTTTTGCTTATGAGGCACTCTGTCAGGCAGAAGGCAGCATTCCAATTTGTGGCTGATACATGGGTCTGTTTTTTGTATGCAAGTTGTCTCCAAATCCTTATTTTAGAAATGTGCCCTGATCACTGGTATCATGTCATGATGCTTGCAATAGTTACTGACAAAAGTTACAATTCCCAGATCTTGTTAGAAGTGAACTACTCTGGTTACTTTCTGAAAGCTGATCTATGGAAAATTATTTATTTAATACTCTCCTTAATAAATTTAAATTTTATATTAATCTTTTTCTCAAGTTTCTCATATTTTAGAGGTACTGGAGTACCTTTAGGGGGGTACTGCAGTTGCTAAATAGAGGGGCAGTTGCTACCTGTGCATACAAGGCACTAACATTATGTAATGGTTTTACACTTGACGTAAAGCTACATTGTGGCTTTAGAAGTCCTGTCTAGGAATAATACTGAACTCCCTTCTAAGTTTTGCACACTTCATGGGTAGATAGCAAACACATTCACTTCAGTAACAGTGAAGGGAAAATCTTTTCAATACAATACTGGCTGCCTTGTTCCCTAGTGGCAGTTTGCTGTGATCCAAACAGTGCTTCCAGCAGAGTGTACATATTTGGTGAACAGCTGTCACTGTTTGTTTTTCTTTTCAAGGATTCTTGGACATTGAATTTGAGGACAAGATTGGAAGAGTTCCTGTCTGTGACTCTGAAAACCAGTCAGACTCCACAACTTCTCGCTTTATTTGTATCCTTCTGAGAAAACACTTTGAAGATAATTAGAATTACTATAAAAAGACAATATAATTTATTGGAAGAGTGTGCTGCTGAGATTTATTGCAGAATTGCAGTAACAGTTCTGTGCTTTTACAATAGGAAGTTTTGATGATGTTTAGAGACATTCAAAAAAGCCTTTTTCAAAAGTTATGTAAAGACAATGTGTAAGTGCATGTGAGCCTACATATTTATATGACCATTCCTTACTTCCCTGTATCAAGTACAGGGTACCCCAAAGCACTGACCTGACCTGATTTCTTTCTTTCTTATTCCTCTTCATGGAGTAATGGACTGGATCCTAATTGAGCGCTGAGTATTTTTGGGGTATGAAATGTCATTTGCCCTATAACATTTGCATGTAAAATCAGTGGTCCACTTTTAATTTTGGTGTTAATACATTTAGACTGGAGTTACTCTATCTTACATTTGAGGGCTGGATCTAGTATCTTTAAAGGTCACAAAAGAAGTCTCAAGTCTCCAAGCAACATTGTATATTACGCACTTATGGGATTTTAATGTACTTATTATTGTTTATTTTGTTCTTGCCTTCCTGTGAAGCATCAGGCATTCATTGTTTCCTGGAACAGTAGGAATATCTGGCTTGGTTGGGTTTACCAGTAGGTTGAATTTCTCATTCTGTATCTCTGGAACAAACGCATCCTGAATGGATGCACATTTTCCTTAACTCTGCTGCTACTTGTACAACAGAAAGAGAATGGAGAGTGCAACAAAGGTAAACATTGAGATGTGGTTAGGTTATTCTGTAAGGCTATCAGGGCCTGTAATAATAGTGAAAAGTATGTTGCAATGACAGGGAAACCAGTGATGCATGGCAGAAAGTCCTTTGCAGTACAGATCCCTGTTATAGTTACTGCTGGACTGCTGAAAACGTCTTGCTCTTTCAGTAAGAGGAACTTATATAAAATACTTTTCCTTTTTCAGTAAAATTAGTTATATGTGAGAAGATAGTGATACTAAAAATGGAAGATAAGTCAAGACTCTCTGACTCCCTTTTCTCAATAAAGACCAGTGTTTATAATTAATAATCCCTGGATTCAAGAGGCAAGGAGTAAACTGGACTCTGTTTCTTCATTGCCAAGACTAGCATTTATGAGCTGCCTTGAGTTTGATTATGTAGTTTTTCCTGCTGTCTGTAGTTGGATTTTCATCACTGGAAATTTTCCCCACTGGGCTGTGAGGAGCAAGGAAGTTAGGAGGAGATTTATGTTTCATGACTTGGTGCTTCCAGTTTTCCTCTGAGCGAAAGTCACACTCTAGATACATCCACTGGAAATTTCTGAATGAAATGTGTTGTATCACAGTTGCATAAAAAATGTATTCCAATATTCTCATCTAGGCAAAGGAAATGCTACTGAGTGCCTAAAGTTTTGTGCAAAGGTTGCTGTCTGAATCTTTATTAGTTTACAAAAGTAATTTTGCTCTGGAGCTGTTACTGTATTAAAGCTGTAGTAGCAGTTTAGCAGTAATCGCTGTGGAGTAAAAATAAAATCAAAGTTTTGGCTGCCTCCTAGGAAGTACAAGCAAACATCATTAGGGTGGCTTGATTTGCAATTTGATATCAGGTGTCAGTCCCAAATCCTGGAGGTGCAGAATACTGTGATCCATGAATGGTTCTCAGAAAGCAGCCATTCTTAGAGGGGAGGAGGCTTTGTTAACTCACAGATTTTTTAAAAATACAGGTTAGAAATAGGAAAGTGTACCTTCTCTTTATCCCATGCTTTATTGTAAGACTGTCAGTTTATAGCTAAAGTTTATAGCTGAAGTCTATTAATGCACATTTTATCTAGAAGATTCAATTAAAAATATAATTTTGCTAATTTTTCTGAAAGTAAAAATAAGCTGTTCTGCCATGTACTGATTTTAATATAAATTGAATAAAAGCAGCCTATTTCAGAAACCCTAAAAATCCATAAGATGTGAGAAATTTTTAAAGCAATTTCCAACATCTGGATTCCTAGTGCTGTCTAATGACTTTGATCTTTCTCTTTGTAACAAAAGCTTTATGAACTGTTCTATTTAAATAGTATTTTTCTAGCAGTTTTGCATCTCTGATGCCCACGTGTTTGTTGCTTTTTGAGGCATTTTTTCAGAAGTTGTTTGGCAGATATTTGTGCACAATTAGTACATTGATACCTGCAATGTAACTAGATGGTCGTTGTAGAAGACTTGCAAAGGCTCTACCAGATAAGCCATGGTGCTAGTAAAATACTCCCTATTTTTCCCTCTGCTGAAAGTGGTTACCGCTCTGACAGCAGAAGTTCACACCTAAGTTCAGAGAGTAGGGGAGCAAATGGCAAGGAACAGTTTTTAAATGAGTGCACCTAAATTATCCAAAACTTACTTATGACGTTTTTAAACACAGAGTGTAACTGCAGTGAAAGTTTGTATTGCTTAGGATTCTCCAAATGAAGGTGCTGAAGATTTCTACTTCAATCAGTTATGTTTCCCGGTGTTTCTGTGTTACATGAACATACAATCTACATCTTTATGGAAAGAGATAGTGAATCATGAAAGAGGATAATGATTTCCTCAAAGGTTGTGGGCAAAGTCTGTTCAAAGCTGAGAATAGGACCTAGTTTATATATATATCAGGCTGTTTGGAATGTTTTACTCTATCAAAAATATTAAATCTGTGAAAAAAAATCCTGCTTCTTTCTGAAACTCTATAGTCAATCTGATTGCTGCCCATTTTTTAACAGAAAGTCCTATGGTAACTGTTCAGTCTGTTTGCAGATGGGCAGAATGCCATTTTCACAACACTGGAGCAATACTGTCTTCTCAGCAAACTTAATTTAAAACATAATGTTCTAGCAAAATACATAAACACCAGCAGTAACAATAGAATTATTGTGCCTCCTTTCATAGTTCTGTTCAGTCATGAAGATGTGCAGTGCTGTTCACAGCTCCAGGCTCTGTGCCTGACTTCCATGCAGAGGGTTAGTTTGACTAGGTTGGAGGACAGGATGAAGGATGCAGGTTTTGGTGCTTGGTTTGCTTCTTTTACCTCTAACGTAATTAAACCTGAAGGGACAAAATGTAGCAGGAAT